GTTTCTGTAATCCATCTTTCTCTTTCTAAAACTCTCTGGCCACAGCTAGGTACGATGACATAAATCTTTAAGCCCAGCACTTTGGAGGCAGAAGCAAGTGTATCTCTGTGTGTCTGAGACCAGCCTGGTCTACACAAAATTTCAGGCTAGCCATGACTACAAAATGAGACTGTATTTTCAAAGAAAAAAACAAAAATACTATTGGATGCCGGCAATGGTGGCGCATGCCTTTAATCCCAGTACTTGGGAGGCAGAGGCAGGCGGATTTCTGAGTTCGAGGCCAGCCTGGTCTACAGAGTGTGTTCCAGAACAGCCCGGGCTACACAGAGAAACTCTGTCTCAAAAAACTAAAAAAAAAAAAAAAAAAAAAGAAAGAAAGAAAGAAAGAAAGAAAGAAAGAAAGAAAGAAAGAAAGAAAAAGAAAAAATACTATTGGATATATAGCCAATAGGATCAATAAAAAAATTCTTAATGGATACAGTTTAAATCACATCTCTTATAAGTAAAGACAGAGAACAATAAATAAAGATGCAAGCTGGAAAAGCCAAATGTGTCTTTGGTGTCGCTCCTGAAGTCTCTCACCGTGTCTGCACCTGTTCCTTTCATCCTTAGGAGATGATAATCTGCTGTTTATTTTGTTACCATAAACCTAAGCACACGAAGTTTACGCAGAGGTCGCCTTTTAAAAGTTGGTCTGTGCCTGATCTTTCTGACTTCACAAAAACTAAAGGGGAGAAAGTGTGTGTGTGTGTGTGTGTGTGTGTGTGTGTGTGTGTGTGTGTGTTCTGTTGGTGGAAGGGTTGGTGGTTAAAAAGCAAGTTGAGACTTCCTCTTTGAGCCGTTGCCTTTCCTCTCAACACTACGGAGATTTCATTTCGTTTAAGGCTGGGTAGAACTGAAAGCAAGCCAGACGCCAGAGCAAAGGGTATGATGGCTAAGAAGCCCCCGAAACCCGCCCCTCGTAGGATCTTCCAGGAAAGACTAAAGATCACTGCTCTACCCCTGTACTTTGAAGGATTTTTATTAGTCAAACGGTCTGACTACCAGGTAAGTGTGTAAATGATAATCGTAATCCTGAACGTTTGCACTTAACATAAAACTTATCTCATGACAAGATGATGCGGTGAAGCCTCCTTGTTTCTTGTTTGGGTTCTCCTCTCTTCCTTAAGTTAGAAGAATGGTTGTAGTTTTGAATCAATGCACAGCTTAAATATATGCGTACACACACACATATATATATGTATGTATTATAAGGGTTCTAATATTTATCCATAATCTAAAAATTCAATGCAATTTCCAAAATATTCTTTTAAGCATCACAGAAGACTTTGGCGTTGAAAAATGAGTGATTTATATGCTTTCACCACAATTTACTGCTATGCTTCAGTGGTGAGGAGTTGCATGAAGTTGAGGTGATTTAGTGATAAATAACAAAAAAAGAAAGAAAGAAAAAAAATGCTATTGGATATATAGCCAATAGGATCAATAAAAATCACTCAATGAAGCATTTCTTAATGGATACAGTTTATAATGATGCAATGATCACATGGTAAGAAATGACAAACTTTCATAAAAGTATGAAAATCTGACATTGATTTAATATTGTTTCATTACACATTCTGAAAATACTGTTCACAATGCTGATTCTAAAAGAGAATATTTAAGATGTTATTGTAAATAGTGAATACATTAAGGCTTTTGCAGAAGTACATCTTCTCTAAGTAAACTCACTAAGTAGTTCACATATTTTTTAATGTGAAATCTTAAACCACAGTTTTAAAAATGTATTTGCCTTTAAAGGTGCAATTGTGGGCAACAGAAAATTAATGAGGCAAATAAACATGAAATTATGTTACTAAAGAAGTAAAGACGGCACTGGTATAGGTAAAATTTTATGGCATTTTCATATTGGCTGATGTTAGCAAGGTTTTAAGTGTTTTCAGAAGTAGCAGTGAGTGCTCAGTGAAGATGATACGGCAAGGTGCAGAGGAGTCATTAACACTCACGGAGAAATTATGAATATGAAAATAAGCTAATAGGATATTCATATTTTCTATTACATAGTAAGCTCATTTGCCATTTGAAAGTCGAGTTGTGATTCTTGCTATGGCTGTTAAATTTGCAAATTTAAAAATTGCAAATGTGCAAGCTATATTCAAATGTTGTTGTTTTGTTAATTCTACACACGGTTTTATTCACCAGAAGTGTGCAACAACTGAAAGTAAATTTCTAGTTGGTAATTTAAACTTTGGTCTTTTCCTTAATTGTCTTCTCAAAGTGTTTATAGTAACTGTGTCTGTTACCAAGATCCTTCATCTGTTTAAAGAAGCCATGTGCTGGTATGCTTACCACAATTTTAGAATATCAGTAAACCATGTCTTTACTTGAGATTTCTTCTACATACAACTCATGACCTTAGGAAAATCCCTCCATCTCCCCTGAACTCAGTTTATTCAGCTGTTAAAAAAAGAAAGGAGCCAAAGGGTGCCACTTGTCTGCAGCATAATATATTTATTTTGTACTCTTCATTATGTCTGGATAGATGAATGCAGTGCTGAATCAAGTTATTTTTTTATGCAACATGTATTGTACGCGTTGCATGCAACAAACACGAAAAGAGGTTTAGCTTAGTGGAAGTTATGACTTTTTTTAAAAATCTAACTCCTCCTGTGGTTTTGCTTAGAAAGCATGCTTCTTTTTTAACACTAGATAATGTTATCAAACATCAAGACAATGTGAAATAAGTTTTAATCCTATTTCTCAAATCCTTGTTTAATAGTGAGTAAGATTGGTGAATATTTTGGTTGTTTTTTTTTGGTCCTTTGAGATTTCTTTCTTTTAGTTTTTTACTTTTTTTTTCACTCCAGATTTTATTCCCGCCCCCTCCCACGTCCACCCTCCAACTATTCCACACCCCATACCTCCTACCTAACCCCCTGTCTCCACAAGGCTGTGCCCCCCCCCCCCCCCCCCCCCCCCCACCTGACCTCTAAACAGAATGAGCTATACACCCACCATTTCTTAAGAGGATTAGGGATATAGCTAAAATGGTAGAGCACTTTTCTAAGAGGCATCAGGCCCTGAGTTCAGCTCGAGTAAGCAAATGTAAATAGTTGTGAAACGTACGTATATGAGAAAACCAATTTATTTACTCATTTGAATTTATTACCAAGTTTCTGTCTCTCATGGGTCAAGCAGAAGAGGAACCAGAGGATGACTATGTCAACATACATGGTGGTTTGGTTTGAAAGATGAAAATCATAACTACAAAAAAAAAATGCAGGCTTCATTCACAGTTCAGGTTCATTTTCTTCTGGTTTACGTAGACGTTCGCTAACGTCCTAGAGTCAGTCAGCTCGAGATCTACAAGGAGAATCGCTCCAAGGAACGCCATAGGGTTTAAAGACTTACATATAGAAGCGATAAGAAAAACTCTAAGGGAAGTAAGTGGGATTTCTGCGCAATTGGCAGCAAATTCCAGGGTGCATTTAGAGCAAGGTGAGCTGAGAGCGATCAGCAAGTCATCTGTGGTGCTATGGGATAACTGACAACAGGAGGCTATGCCGAATGCTGAGCCCCTGCTGGAAACAATTCAGAAGACTGAACTAGAGAAAACGTGATTGAAGGGTACCATGCTCAGCAAAGAGGCTCTTGTTACGAGGTTTTCTGGTTTTTTGTTTTTTTGTTTTTCCAGATCATTTAAAAAGAAATTACAGTGCTCCACCGCCAGGGAAATGCATCAATATATGCTGATTTTAATACACTTCTAGGAGGAATTATTCAGGCCAATAATCTATGAAAAGTATCTTTCCAGGGAAAGATATGGGAAGTTATCCTTGAACTGCAGCGTTAGAAATTTAGGTTCACTAAGAAGATGTATTCAATAATTAAACCACAATCAAATACAAAATGCATCACAGTTTTTATAGATTGGAGTTTAAAAAAAAAAAAGCAAACTTTCCTGAAACTTTAAATACAAGAAGGTTTGGGCAATAGAGGGCTGTTCTTTCCACCTGTGACATGCACGGCTTACGCTGTTAAAAAATGCAATACCTCCTCTTAGTCTGTGCAATCATCATAATGGAACAAAGTATCACTTCTGTGATGGCCTTCACATGCATGAAGCTTTTTGTATTACCTCCCATGTCCTGAAACACAAACTCCACATTTTAAAGTTGCAACCCTCTTCCAGGAAAACATTTTGAATATAGCTATCTACTATGAGAATATGAACATATGTATCTCTGTCCTAATATTCTATATAAATTATTGAACATACATATCTTTTAGATCCAGAATGCCAAAGACCAGCATTGGCATCCGTATGGGGGTAAACTGAGGCGGGCAGCCATCGGCAGTCCGTGCTTAGAGCTGCTGACTGGGGTGGATCCAGATACCTACAGGGGCTGCTCCTTAAGGCAGCCAGCGATTAGAGAAGTTACTCAGCAGATTTTTTCTCTGAGGGAATAAAACTTAATTTACTGGGGCTGGCACTCCCTGTGGCCAGTGGAAAAACTATGATCTCTTTTAACATCTTGGGGTCAATAAAGAAGAGAAGGAAATGAGAAAATTCATACGCGCACGCGCGGAGACACAGACACACACACACACACACACACACACACACACACACTAAAAAATGACACAAGTATGTTTACACATTGGGCTTCACTCTTCTTTAGAAAATGTTTAAGTGTTTTGTTTTTGGCTTTTTCGAGACAGGGTTTCTCTGTGTAGCCCTGGCTGTCCTGGAACTCACTCTGTAGACCAGGCTAGCCTCGAACTCTTGAACTCAGAAATCCGCCTGCCTCTGCCTCCCAAGTGCTGGGATTAAAGGCGTGGGCCACCACCACCGGCAGTGTTTTGTTTTTGAAATTTACTTTTTTTGTTGTTTTGTTTTTTGTTTGTTTTTCGAGACAGGGTTTCTCCGTGTAGCCCAGGCTGTCCTGGAACTCACTCTATAGACCAGGCTGCCTCGAACTCAGAAATTTACCTGCCTCTGTCTCCCAAGTGCTGGTATTAAAGGCGTGCGCCACCACTGCCCGGCTGAAATTTACTTTTAATTATGCATATTTTGGGGGTTTTGCGTGTGGGTATATCCAACGTGGATGTTGGGAACTGGGTCATGTCTTCTGGAAGAACAATAAGCTGGTTTGCTTCCTGCTTGCCTGTTTTCCTTCCTTCCTTCCTTCCTTCCTTCCTTCCTTCCTTCCTTCCTTCCTTCCTTTTTTCCTTCCTTCCTTCCTTCTGTCCTTTCTTCCTTTATTTTTTATATTGCTTTCGTTTTTTTGGTGGTGTTGGTGGTGGTGGTGAATTTTTTTTGAAGGGCATTTTAACTTTTATTTTTATTTTGCTTTTATACCATTTTAATTACATGCAAATATTGAGGTCAGTTCTAGGTTGAGGAACTAGCAATACAACAGATGCAAATAGTCAAGGAACAAGCAAGACAATAAACACAAATAGTCAAAGAACAAGCAAGGCATTAATCAAAGTCCCGTGATCACTCCCGTGAAATTTTTATTTTCAAGACAAAGTTGCTCTGTGTAGCTCTGACTCTCCTGGAACTTGTTCTGTAGCTCAAACTGGCCTTGAACTCAGGGAGCCGCCTGCCTCTGCCTGCCTTGTGCTGAGATTAAAGGTGTGTGCCACCACCTTGGCTGTCACCACCTCCCCCTCCCCAGCCAGTAAGCATTCTTAGTCGCTGTACATTTCCTCCATCCATTTCTGCTGATGCCCATAGTGTGTGAATGAAGCCTGAGCGGGCTGTGACGGTACACACCTTTAATCCCAGCAGACAGGACACACAGGCAATGTGAATTCAAGGCTAGCCCGAAGCCTGCTTTACATAGTAAGTTCTAGACGAGCCTAAGACCCTGTCTCAAAAATAATAATAATGATAAATGAAGCTTGAGCCAAGTGAAATGGGAGTCTGTCTGACTAGGTTATTTTAAAATATTTTTAAATTTAGAACATTATTTGTAAAAAAAAAAAAAAAGTCTTGGAAATGTGAATCCACTAATAATTAAACATTTACTTAATGAGTGAAGTATGTTCTTTAAACTTCAACTATTAAATTATTTTTATTATCAGTTTATCTATCCCCTTAGTCTATGTGAGTAATAAATACTGTTTAATGCACCCAGTCTAAGCGTCATGTCCTCTGCTAAGTATGTTAACTTTGTGTATTTGCTCCGTCCTTTCATCTCCCATAGAAAGCACCTATATCCAGGCCCTATATAATCTCTGATATAGCCCGGTCACTCATTCGACCTTTCACTAAAGTTGAATAAATAGTATTAAATTAATGGGAAGAATTCCAGAAATTATCTAGTTAAGAGTAAGCTAAACATTATACTAAAAGAAGTCTGAAAAGGATTTACTCTTATATTTTTGGTTGTGAGCCTAGCCTTTAACGGCTGAGCCATCTCTCCAGCCCTTATACATTCTCCTTCAGGTACTGCTACGACTACTATCAGAAGAAAAAGACATGGAAAGGGGGTAACAATAGAACAGTTAGTACATCAAAAAAAAAAAAGTGTTAATTGTAAAGCCTAAAGTTCTATGCGTGACTGATAATAGAATAAATTTTCATAAACCAAGAAAAAAAAGAAAAGGATTTACTTAAGAATTAACTGCAGGGCTAAAGACATAGCTCAGAGTTTAAGAGCACTGGCTGCTTTACCAGTAGACCTGGTTTGAGCCCCAGCTCCTCTAAAGTGTCTCACAGCTGTCTTTAACGCCAGTTCCAAAGGATTCAATGCTCTCTTCTGGTTTTCAGGGACACCGGACACACATGAATCGCTGATAAAATGCATGCAGGAAAAATACTCATACATATAAAATAAATATATCGATTTTCCTAATTGTCTGCAAAATAAAGCCCTTAAAATGTGGGGGAGCTTCATTTAAGAATATCATATAATCATTACATGTATGGCAATTTTTAAAATTATGGGGAAATTCAATGAACAGCCAGGAGTGGTAACTATGCAACATTAATGTCAGCACTTAGGAAGCAGAGGCAGGCAGATCTCTATCAGTTCAAGACCAGCATGGTCTACACAGCAAGTTTCAGGCCAACGACAGCTATTGATTAAGATATTGTCTCCAAATTAAAAAAAAGAGAAACGAGAGAGAGAGAGAGAGAAGAAAGAGGAGGAGGAGGAAGAGGAGGAGGAGGAGGGAGGAAAGGAGGGAGAGACGGAGGGAGGGAGGGAGGGAGGAAGGAAGAAAAGATGTGTGTGTGTGCGCGTGTGTGTGTGTGTGGTATGTGTGTGAGTGTGTGTGTGTGTGTGGTATGTGTGTGAGTGTATGAGTGTGTGAGTGTGTGTGCGTGTGTGTGTGAGTGTGTGTGAGTATGTATCTGTGGTCAGGCAGCCCACAACCTCTTGTAACTCCAGTTCCCAGTGATCCTTGGTTACGTAAGGAGCACACACGTGCACAAATAAAATAGATAATTTTTAGGCAAAATGTGAAAAATAAAGAATAATTTTATATCATAGAATTACAGAAGATAAGACAGAAGGTAACAAGTTGAGTATGACCTTGTGAAATGGTGTCCATGATTTCTTTTCCCCAGGAATACAAACATTATTGGACGGAGCTGAGAGGAACCACACTGTTCTTTTACACTGACAAAAAAAGTACAAGTGTAAGTAGAGCCTGACATGGTCACCTACTTCAGCCTTTCAATAGACCCTTGGCATTAATTCATTATCCAAACATGTACATCTGAGGGGCCTTGCATTGGAACATACGATGCCACAATTTAATTTTCCCAGACAAAAACTTATAAACTTACCTTGTTAGACTTCTAAGAGCTAAAGTGTGAGGAGAAGGAGGATGAAGTGTTTTTTTTTCATTAACCCTTTAATGAGTAAGCTTTTTTTTAATATAGTGTATTACAACTTTTCAGTGATGTCAAGAAAGCAAAGTCCCTGGACAAAACCTTGTATAATTCCCAGTAACCGCCTTAGAACACTTCAAGTAAGGGGGACTACAACTTGGTGAGTGAGAGTCTGGTATGCCCAGAAAGATTGCCTAGTTTTTCAGTGCTAGCCCCGCCCTTGGTAACTGTGTAATTGGTATCTTGAGATAATTTTACCTAACCTCTCTGTGACTCATTGCATAAAAAGGGGGCACTGTAGAAAACAGATGACGTCTGAAATTGGGCAATTTAAAGGACGTTTAATGATGTCATTAAAAATATGCAAAGCAGTGGGCAGAATATAGAGAAGTCACACGCTTAGCTCTCAGGCTAAAAATAATGCCATATTACCACATGAGGCATGAGAGGAAAGAGTGGGAGAGCTCATACTTAAGGGAAGCATGACATTTGATTGAAGGATCAGCTACATAGGTCTCTGAACCATCTTCCTGCCTCAGTCTCCTGAGATTGCAAGCGCTGAGATTGCAAGCCTGCACACCAATGGGCACTGTAGGATGGCTAATTTCTAGATTATGTTGCAGTCAGAAATGGCAGGTCTGGGCAGAGGTTCCTCAATCATGATGTTAAAAAGCCCCGGCTCAGTTCATACTATCTCCTCCCACCCTTGGGAGGCTCTGAGCCATCAGACTGTAACAGGGGATACTTATAAAACGGCGCCTGGTCCAGCTAGTTCCTGGGCAGCTGCCATGTTCCCGCTGCTCCTGCTCTGACGGAGGCTCCGGCTAGCTAGAAACACCAGCTCTGGCACCCACGAGACGTTGCCATGGCAGCTGGTTCGGCTGATCAGCTCCATAGATAGAGACCATGCCCCAAAGCATGAATCTTGGGCCAACCCCCATCACCTTCATGGCTCTCTGTTAAGCCCCAGACAATACCCGCCATACAAGTGGTACCCAGTAGAATGAAGACTCTTAATGCTTAAAGATTATCCAATGGATTTTATATATTTAGAAATGCTCAATTAACAAGATGCCCACATAATTAAAATAGTTACCCAATATCTAACCTTTGATGTAAGTTGCTACCCAGGACTGCTCTCGATCCATCTATCTTCCTCCATGGTTGTTAGCTCACTCCTTTCTCCTTCCCTTCCTCTCCTTCTCTCCTCCCAACTCCTCACTTTACCTACATTTCATACTGCCCAATCACCGAGCTTTATTACAAATGTGTGTGGGGTGTGGGGGGATATCCCGCTACATCAGACATCCTAAGTTACGTTTTAAGTTGAAATTCCTGTGCTTAAGAGATCTTTAGGACAAAATACCCCTAACTTGTAAGCCCCGCTTACCCAAGGACAAATAACTTTCTGCTGAGGGCTGTTGTTCATGAAAAATAAGTCACATGTTTTCATTTTTGTTAACCAGTTTGGTTATCTCAACTGCACGGGCTGTGCTCGATCACACCTAGGCAGGAGGTATGTTAGGATGTATGCTGGGATGCAGAAGGTACACTAGGACGATTGGACAAAGGCAGGAAGTATGTAGGCTTGTGAGTTTCGCCTTTATAAGCCCCTGACTGATGTAATTCTGCATCATACATTGGAATCTGGGTATGGACCTGGCTGGTATCTAATAAAGCTTGCTTCAGATTTGTCTAGGAAATTGTGGTAGTGGTCTTATTCTCACTTGTAAGTGAAAACCGTCAAGTTTAAGGATTAAAACATCGTAGACGGTCATACTTACCTGGCAGGGTGGATACCGTCATCACTAAGGTGGTTTTCCAAGGACAAGCCTTTGTCATCGTATTCTAGATGTGCCCTTATGATTTCCCAAAGGTACCAAATTTGGGGAACTGGCTGCATAATTCGTGTTAGTGACTAACTGAATTCTCATTTTCCTCTGAAAACATTTTTATACATATACATGAAAGAAACCATACAATATGATACCGCTAGTAAAAGGGGGTGTATCCCAGGTACGGCCTATGAGCTCGTTTTTTTTTTTTTAGGCACAGTGCCACAAAGAGGTCACAACAACAAGGCTCTACAGTTGTCCACCTACCAATGTTGTTAAAGGAGGATGAAAAACACTTGGAGTAGTTTTCTGGGTGATAGATTCAGAAGAAACACGAGAATAGACCAGCTGAGAACTGGTCTATTTGTGTGCTCTATAGAAGGGAAGAATTTAAAGCTGTCTTTACCTGTCTAAAAGGCTTAGAGGATGTCGTGTAGAAACGTCATTGAATGTGTTTAGTGTTATTCCAGAGAAAAGAATTCAGGACAAGTGGATGGGAAGTAGGTAGAGAAAAACTTTGACTCAAAGCACAGAACACTTAGTAGGGCTGCTTCAGCAGTGTGTCTTCAGTGTTATTACAGATGTCCAGCTGTAGGCTTGAGGACAGCATGGAGAGCAGATTCAACCAGCTGGGTCGGACAGACAACCTTTCAAGCTCTTTCCAACCTACAGTTACAAACAGAAGATATGACTCCTTTTCAGTAATTGGTGTATCAGGCACTGTTTCTTACAGCAAAACTCACTGAGACTAATCTAGACACACCCAGAGTATATATTATAAGAAGGGCTGCTTCTGGGACAAGAAACAAGCCAATACATCATACACTCATTTGTAAGTGGTTTACCAGTTTCCAGAGTGTGAATACTCTTGCCATGACTGAGTCAACCAATCAATGTACTGAGCACAGCGTGTGAAGAAAGGCACAGCAGGCAGCACTGTTGCACAGTGTTAATGCCACAGAGAACAAGGATGTAAATGATGTGGACACTACAGACTCTAAAATATTGTGATATAATTAGAAAGTGATGAAATTTGAATTTTGACTATATTATACATTTTATGTTAATAAAATATTTCATTGATTGGTATGTTAATGTAATAAGATTTTAATAACAGCTATGATAACCAACTGCAAAATTCTCAAATATTTAATATGAGTCTTGTAAATTTGTATGGGACAAAGTCACCACACCACCCCCAAAATGCATTTTTACATATTCTCTGGTATTGGGGAAACAAGGTCATTATGTAAATACACTTAAAAAGCATAATTTTCCTACACCTTGGAACACATGCATCTTACCCAGGTAGTAATTTAACAATATTTCCCTTTATCTTTGCAGTATGTTGGCAAGTTAGACGTAATAGATCTCGTGTGCCTTACTGGCCAACATTCAACCGAAAAGAATTGTGCAAAATTCACTCTTGTTTTGCCCAGAGAAGAAGTACATCTGAAGGTGAGTGAGGAGAAATAGCAATTCACAGAGAGCAAAGTTTCTGCATCGATTTTACCTTTTAACATCCCATAGCTGGAATGAAGAAGAATTACAAGAGGGGCTGGGTCTTAACACTTTCATACTTTTTTTTTTTTTTTTTTTTTTTTTTTTTTTTTTTTTTTTTTTTTTTTGCCAAGGACTTCTGTTGTCTGAGTTACAGTTTGGAAGAACACACACACTTGTTTAGTCTATAAGCATAATGAAACCTTAGACAAATCCTCTGACCAAGTCAAGGGTCCCACCTGGTGTTTTTCAAGGTTGTCCTTGAATTAGCATAGTGAGCTAAGAAAAATCCCGGAACAATGACAGTCACAACACAGAGAACAGATAAAGATAATATTGGAGAAGTTCCTGGGAAGTTGCTGGCTGACTTGGAGAACTCTAGAGGTCAAATTTCGATACTTTATGCAGTAGCTGCGTTCAGGCAAGCTACCCAACCTCTTTGCTTATTTGTTTCTTGAATTAAAATAAGTGTTTGTTCAAATGTAAGGCCCTCCCCGTGGCCCTCCCCGTGGCCCTCCCCGTGGCCCTCCCCGTGGCCCTCCCCGTGGCCCACTTGGAACACTTTATCAAAATTGGAACCTGGTTCTCCTAGCCTGCTGTTGTGGTCTTAACGAGAATGACCCCATGAGTTCCTTATGTTTGAATGCTTGGTCCCCAGTTGGTGAACTGTTTGAGGAGGATTAGAAGGATGAGGAGGTGTAGCCTTGTGCGTCACTGAGGTTGGGCTTGGAAGTTTCAAAAGCCCACATTCCAGGGTTAAGGTCGGTGTCCTTCTTGCTCTCTGTGCTTGCTGCCTGTGGATCAAGCGGTAAAGCTCTCAGCTCCTACTCCAGCACCATGGCTGTTTGCCTGCCATGGTGCTCGTGGATTAACCCTCCAAACCTGTAAGAGAGCCTCCAGTTAAATGCTGTCCTTTGTAAGAGTTGCCTTGTTCATGGTGTCTCTTCATAGCAGTAGAACAGTGGCTAAGACACTCCAGTTCATCATGATACCAGTTTGTTTTACTCTGCTCTACATTTTATTTTTTTCTTTTTTGATGCTTTCCAACAAAATCAAAAGTACTATCACATCAACTATTTATTCTTCCTTGCTATATTTCAAACTCCATGAGAACGAGGATTTTTGTTTTGTTCCCAAGATCTACATTTAACTATATATTGAATGGATATAAAAAAGGATAATAAAAAACACCTCTTCCTAAGTTACACTGAAGATCTTCAAAGGTGTTTTATTCTATAGAATAAACTATTACAATTAGCTGAAAGAAGATATTGATTCTAGAGAAAAGGGAAACTAAACCAAATTTAAAACCAGTGCTAAAGTTAGTTGCTCATTTCAAAAGCTTCTATGGTAGGTAAAAATAGGAAGACAAATGATAGAAAAATAATTGTCATTGCGTTACTTCAGGTTACTTTTTATGGACACAGAGGGAACAAATTGAAGTTGATATGCATGGAAAATGTGGTTGTTATGGTTTTTTTTTACTGGTTTCTCAAGAAGGCAAGATAACGTTTAGTTTTGGTTTAGTGGTGTGGAGTGTTAGCACAGACAGCTCCATATTTACTTCTAGTGAATATCATTCAGGACCTCAGTGCAGAAACCTAGCAAACAACGGCCACCTATAACCTTTCTTCACCATGATTAAGCAGGCAATACCTGTGGAGTGCATAGCTAGATGTACCCTAGGTTATGGTCACTTTGTCGTTTGACTCTGAGAATGCTAGGTAGCTGGAAATGGCTTCTAGAGATTCTCCTCTCTCTACCTACTATTTTGCCAGAGGCACACAAGGATTATATGTCTCAATGTGCCCGACTTTAGGTGACTTCTGGAGGCTTGAAGTCAGGTCTTGACACTTGTGTGACAAGTGCTTTATTCGCTGAGCAACCCCACTCCTGGTCATTTATATTTTTGCTTGCCTATAAAAGAAAATGGGACTGAAATGTTTCATGATAAATATGTTAATTCTAAGCAAAAAAGAAAATGAAGTATTTCTCCTTGCAGCTGATTTTATAGTTTAAAATTGTCAAACGATCTTATTTAACAAAGTTCCTGAAAATAAGAATATGTGGTTCTGTCAATCTTGCTAGTTTTTCTCTCTCTTTTTTTTTTTGCATGTATGTGCGCATGGTACGTGTGCATATATGCATGAATATTTGGATGTGCATGGGTGTACAGGTATGTATAGGTGCACTTGTGTGTGTGTGTGTGCTCCTGTGTGAGGGGTCCAGAAATTGACAGCAGATACTTTTTTCATTCATCCTCCATCTTATACATAGGGACAACACGTTTCACATGGACCCCATGGCTCCCCAGTTTGACCAATGTAGCTATCCAGCTTGCTCTACAGATCCTCTGTCTTCACCTCCTAGGTGTAGGAATTACAGTTGAGTCGCCACATCCACCTGGCATTTTTCTTGGTTCCAGAGGTCCAAACTTCAGCCTTCACACTCATGTGGCAAATGCTTTACCCAAGAGCCACCACTCTGACCCGCAATCTTGCTAGCCATTGATGGAGAACTTACTTTGTCATAAAATGATACAGCGAAAAATTTCTCATTATTTAAAGTTAGTACAGATCATTCATTAATCATGTATTTTCTGCTTTATATTTGTTTTCATCTCTAGACAGAAAACACAGAGAGTGGGGAAGAGTGGAGAGGCTTCATTCTTACAGTAACAGAGGTAAGGGGGACATTTGCTTCATTTTGCTGAGACAAGGTGTCAGTAGCTCATGGTGGTAACAAACTTACGATTCTCCTGTCTCAACATCCCAGATGATAAGATTACCACTGTGAGTCACCATGTCCAGCATAAGATCATTAATGTCTGCTGATTCATCTAGCTGTAAAATAGTTGCTAACACCGACCGTAACTGTGTACATTAAAGTGGCTGTGATGTAGACACTAGAAAAGGCGGATAGAAATCCATTCTTTTGCTTCTGAAAGTCATATTGTTTTTTTATCTCGTGTAATCCGGTGGGTGAAGAGTGCTCATGTTACTAAACACAGCCCATTTCACCTTGTGATAACTGTTCTGAAGTAATACTGGGGAGCCAGGGAGATTGGAGGTCTACTTTGTCTATGATTTTCTGCTCTATACATGTTTAGGGCATGGCACCAACTCACTCTATGCGGATACATCATTCGTTAAAATGTTCCACTGCTCTGACTATTGCTCCAAGAGAGCATAATGAGGAACTAGACTTGGGAATGAGAACACTTCACTAGGACATATTCAGGTGACTCAATCAAAACCACACTGCTAGAAAAGGTAGTAACAAGAGAACCAATAGAGGAGCCCAAGGAGCATAGGCTGACTCGTTGCTTTATTTGAGAGACTAGAGTTCTCATTCCTGAGTCCCAAGAGCTTGATTTTGAGTCTTAACATCACAACTGACTAGCTATGGTGCTCTGGACTTTAATCTTTCTGATCATACTTTTTTTGTTTTTTTGTTTTGTTTTGTTGTTGTTGTAAAGTGCAAATAACAATACCTGTCTTGTAAGACTGTTGGTTATAATAGTCTTGTAGTACTATTTTTGGTAACATTTGTAGAGTGACTGAGATAAACATACAACTTATAATTTATGAGAAGTAGCTAAAGAGAAATATTAAAATAAGATAGGGATAACTGTTTTATTAGTTCCTCCTCGTTGCTTTATTTTTTTTTGTTTTGCTTATTCATTAAAATAATGGTATGATGAAACTTTTGGGCTGTATATTCCTATCAGGAAATTATCTATATTTCATATGTACAGATACAATGAATACACAACAAGAGGAATTAATGAAACAGTAGCTAAGTATGGGACTGGGGACACATGCACACACACATGCACATGCATGTGCTCATACATACACACACAAGCGCAGAGAGAGAGAGAGAGAGAGAGACAGAGACAGAGACAGAGACAGAGAGAGACAGAGAGAGTAGCTAAATTGAAAGGGAAGTTGTATACTCTCATGAATTCTCTTGTATGTCACCTGATAGGTTTGCACTCTGGGTGGTCAAATTATAAATCAGACATGGCTGTCCCCAAATACTGACCAGCTAGCTAATATCACAGTTAGAAAAATGTTGTACCATACTTCTCCAGAAAGCATAGGTTGTTCCCAACTGACTTTTGAGATGTGAATACAATTCACAAAACTATACATGGAAAACCAAATTCAAAACACATTTCTGGAGAAGTACAAAACTAACATGCAGAGAAGTATCTAACTGTTTAAATATGTGAATGGATGGCTAGAAATGGAATGAGCACAGTGTAAACCTGCTGATCCTATGCTCACCTCAAACCCACATTGTCATAATAATATGGGGCATTTCCAAGTTAACTAGTGTGAGAATAAGTTATCTCCTAGAGATCCTAAACTTCTTGGGCATTGCAAAGGTATGTGAGTTCAGGATGAAAAATGAGAGATTAGCTGGGTGTTGGTGGCAAATACCTGGTCTACAGAGCAAGTCCCAGAGCAAGTTCCAGAACAGTGAGGGCTACACAGAGAGACCCTGTCTTGAAAAACAACAACAAAAAAAAAAACCCAAAAATGAAACAAACAAACAAGAAAAAAACAAAAGCAAAGTATGTGTACTCTGCCCTGAGATCTCAGCCAAGCATGGTGGTGACACACTTTTAATCCCAGCACATGGCTCTGTGAGTTTGATTCTCAATCAGGTGTACAGAGTGAGTTCTAGGACAGCCAGGACAACATAGAAAGACAGTGCAGAAACAGAACATACCAAAAAAAAAAAAAGCAAAATTAACTAACCTAACCAACCAACCAGTCAACCAACCAACCAGCCAACCAGCCAACCAACCAATGAAGCAAATACTCTGTGCAGGTTCTAGTTGATATAGGAGGCAGTGCTGTAATGCTTACATTAGATTGGAATCTTCTGTTTATTATTGTTCTGTCCATTTGTCTCTGACAATGGACACTCAATCACTACAACTTCTTGTGGCCATAAGCTCCCCTCTATTAAAGCCAGCATGCTATTTGGCTGCAGTTATACTTTGCCTACTGTTTTAACTGGTTTCAGTTGTCAGTTCCTCAACACGTGTCACTTCTACCTGGACAAGTGATTAGACTGCACGAAGTCTTAGAGAGAGAAAAGAAAAGAAGGACTGAGACAGACCAGCTGCCAGTTGTGCCTGCGGAGAAAGAGAAGGAGCCTGTACAAGACTATGCAGATGTACTGAACCCTCTGCCTGAGTAAGTACACAATTGACTCCTCTATTTATTCAGTTAAGACTAATTGCCAAAGACCAGGTAGCACTACCCACTTGAACTCGTTAGAGCAGGAATGCTAAATATCTTGGGGATCAATTGTGAGCACATGCCACACTTCCTCTTATGTCATAATCAACGTCGTGCACATCTGAACTAACTCTTACCACAGAGGAAATCCCCTTCCACCCACACTTATAGACTAAATAGATATCCTTCCGGAGCTCAAACCTAAATTAAAGTTGCTATGAAGAAGGAAGGAAACAGCATAGATACATGAGGCCCTAAAACTGGATTATTTATCATCATGTATTCCACATATTTTTAAATTCTTAAAATATTGTATGCAGTTGTTTGAGAAGTGAGCATTGAACTTGCCTTTTGAAGAAAGCCTTGTGTCAAGTTTTCAGAAAAAGTACTGGGACAGCAGCTGGATTCTGCAGCATCCCTCCTATGTCTTCCTTTTTGATGAGAATATTTTGGGCCTTTTCCTTTGGGAATCTTGGTGCACTTGCCATTAAAACATGTCCTGGTTTCATCATGACATTAAGTTCTGATGCCCAGTCCACTGTATTAAAGTCACTGTAACCTGCTGATCAAACTAATCAGGGGATCAATTCATAAAATGAAAGTCACACAAAATGTTTCTTTTTCTTTTGCCCCAAATATAAGAAGAAAGAAATATATCCATTGCAAGTAAATAAAGAGAAGATTAAAATTAATTCTTGTCACTACGCTCAAAGATAGTTGCCAATAACACTTTGGATGTATCATATACGCTGTCAAATTTTTCCATAACTATTACATTTCACTGAATATAACATGTATTATAAAACAGGAAGTGCTTAATTTTTAAATTTTATGTCTGAAATACTATGGGTGCCATTTTAACACAAGTTATAAACCAGGCACGCTTTGAATCCCAATACTCAGGAGGCAGAGGCAGGAGCAGGTATCTCTCTGATTTCCAGGACAGTTTGGTCTAAAGGGTGAGTTCTACACAGCCATACAACAGGGCTATATGGCTATACAGAGAAACTTAATCTCAAAACATCAAATAAAGAAACAAAACTCTACAAACAACAAATTATACCAAACAGAGTCAGTTCAGACACAGTCTTAATGTCAGTCGTTTAAACAAAACAGAGCCCCACTTGGCTTGGGTGGCTTAGAGCTTTAATACCACCAGCTCTGGAAAGACAAGACAGGAAGATCTCTAAGTTTAAGGCCAGCATAGTCTATATGGTGAGTTCCAGACCCATCTCAAAACAAATAAACAGATAAACAAGAAAAGTGGATCCCCAAAGAGAGCCTTAGGACATTTTGGAGTCCTGCAAAAACACTGACAAATCAATCTAAGACCTGTTATGGATTGAAACCAGGTCTATGCTATTAGTCATCGTAAGTTTTCAATGGTTATCATGATTACACGTGAGTTAGTGGAATTGCTTTTCGTGTTCTCTAAGTTTAAAAGATAAACATTACAGCTCTCAAGTTATTTTGGTAGCATTATTTTCAAGTAATTATCTTCGTATTTTTTTTAAATCTTTTTTCTTTTCATCTCATATTTCTAGATGTTTTTATGCAGTTTCCCGGAAAGAAGCAACTGAGATGCTGGAAAAGAACCCTTGTTGGGGAAATATGATCCTGAGGCCTGGTAGTGACAGCAAAAACTACTCCATCACTATACGGCAGGACATAGAGTACGTTCAACTCAATCTGGTTATTGTATTGTTAAGAGCAGACATTCTGGTCATTACCTGCTGTGCATTCTCTTAGGGGTGTAAATATTAGCACAAGAATGAGGAGTAGTGTAACATAAGCAAAGCTCTCTCCTTAGTGGTGACAAAGAGAACAGACCTGTGATTGCTATTGTTTTAATGGGTAGTGTTCATGAAGGCACTCAGTTAGTGGACATTTAAGCAGAGGCTCAAACAAGAGAGGGAATCAAACCACACTAGTACTGGGGGTTGGGGGAGCATCCCAGGCAGCAAGTGTACATGCTCAGAAGCAGATCACCTCTCTTGTTAAGAAAACAGAACGAGGTCAAGTGTCTACATACTTTACCTACAAAAAGGTCCACTGAGGAACATCAGTGGACCCAAAGTTGTTGTTGATGATGATGATGGTGATATTTATTTATTTATTTATTTATTTATTTATTTATTTATTGGTAAAATGGTTTTCCTTTGATAAAGCCAGTAATACTTAAGCGCAAGTGTCAAGGCAGAAGAGCTAGCTCAGTCGGGAGGTAAGTGTGAGACCCTAAGTTAAGTCTGCAGAATTCATGAGAGAGGGGGGGGGGGAGGGAGAGAGAGGGAGAGAGAAGGGAAGAAGGGAGGAAGGAAGAAAGATAATGACACATATTTGTAATTCTGCAGTGGGAAGGTGGGGACAGGCAGGTCCTGGGGCTTGCTGGCCAGCCAGCCTAGGCTATTTGGCAAGTGGCAGCCAGTTCAAAACCCTGTCTTTAAAAAAAAATAATGGTTGAGAATACATCCAAGACTGATCTCTGGATTCTACAAGTTAGTGCACATGAGTATATGTGTACCCACATGCAAATATATACACAAAATAATTTTATATGTAATTAGAGTTATTGGACTTTGAAAACCACTCCAGCTTTGTGAGGCTGTAAAAACTGCATTTTAACAGAGATTCTGGATTAGGTTACACTGTCACAATTGATAATATACTTTCATCCTACATTTAGATATTCAATAAATATCTATATTTTATATAAATCATAAATAGAACATTAAAAATTTAAATTTATTATTCTTTGTTAGGATCATATTCTATTTATTTACTATAATGCATGTACCAGTAAATGTACCAGTTTGTTTCATAGATATCTGTTATTCTAAATGGATCAAATATGATGATATTGATAGTGGATAAATGGAATAAAGAGTAAATAATATTTTAGAGAAAAAATGAAAATCATAGCGTTATGGCTCAACTGCCCTTGTGAGCCATGGCCCCAGAGCTTCATTTGTTCAACAGTTTATATACATAGACACTTGGTGTTCATACACTAGCCATGAACAGGTGGCAAGCGTGTTAGGTGGTAAATTAGATCCTGGTGCTCCCAACTCTGTGTGTGTGTGTGTGTGTGTGTGTATTTTTATGGTTTTTCACAGCAAATAATTGTTAAGCTTCTTGCAGATCCCTTACTTTATCTATCTATTATATACCAGTATTTTTTTTTAGTTTGTAAAATACACTGTAATACACATGACAAGCTGAACACTAGCAATAAAATTTCAACTCTATCAGAATACAATAACAATATTTTAAAACTGCATTTTATTTGATTAATAACTTAAATAGTGACCTTGAAATAAATCCAAAAGAAGTATAGGTTATAGCTGTTGCTGAATATGTTATGTAGTAATCACAGCCCTCCCCTCTCTCCTTTCTTTCTTGAGATAATACAATTACAACATTCCCCCTCCCCCTTTCCTCCTTCCAAACTCTTCCACATACTCATCCTCACTGTCCCTCAAATTCAAGGCCTTTTTTTTTTTTTTACTAACATTTATTGCATGCATGCAATGTGTGTGTGTATGTGTCTGTGTGTCTGTGTGTGTGTGTGTGTGTGTGTGTGTGTGTGTGTGTGTGTAACATATATCCTGTTAAATGTAACCTACTGAATTTCTACAATGTTACTTGTATGTATGTTTTCAAGGCCGACCATTTGGCACTGTACAAACAAATGCTGTGTTCTTCCCCTGGGAATACCACCTCTCCCACTTCCAGATTTCCTCAGTTGCTTATGATTCTCATAATCATAAGAGTTGAGGCCTCATGGGTTTATTCCCATTCACTCTGGGATGTTTTTTGGTCCTTTTGAGCTCCCGTCTGAGCAGTCTGGAACCCTGGACAAGCAGCAGCTCTTTAATAGGAGATACAAAGCATTAAACTCAGCTCCGGTCTCAGGGTTCAGTATCTTCTGCTTAATATGTCACTTGATTTTTAGAGATGGCAATATGAGGGAATATTAGAATTGTGCCTTGCTGGTAGAGTTCAGTTTAGTGTAAAGTTTTTGGCAGGAATCTGGAGTATTAAGAACCACCTGTGTTTCCCTACAAAACAAGCTCATTTTCTCTCAGAGAGGTTCCAGGAGACTGCTCAGCCATGCACGTTGGTCAGTGAGTCCGGTAAACACAAGCTGGAAAGGACAAACTGGTTTACACAGCAAAACTTGAAAGTAGTTTTTGTTCCCCCATGTGTTTACAGATCAGCTGTAGGGAGGCTGCTCTCAGGAGTAAACAAAGGTTGCTAGTGCCAACCTATCAGGTGGTTCCTCAGGGAAGTGACAGGTGAACTCTTAAGCCATAACGCTAGTTTTACAACCCTCACACTTTCCCCCTTGAAGCTGTTCTGACTAGGAGCTGGGTTAGCATTATAAGCACCTAATTAGTAGCTAGGGAGATGAGAAAATTCTTACCACAGATCTATCCTTTTGCAAAAATTGAGGGCAGGACTTAAAAACAAATATTTAGAACCACATTGAAGGCCACACTTTTTTTCTTCTTCAGCTAGCTTTTTTTCTGTGTAGCCTAGGTTGACATGTACTTCTCCTGGCTGTGCCTCTTTTAAGTGCTGGGATCACAGGCGCGTGCCACCACGTGTCGCTTGACTCCATTTTTGATATCATAACCGGTACACTTTAAACTGCAAGTTTTACCCATTGTCCCTTTCCCAAGCTAGAACAAAACAAAAAATGGAAGAAAAGTACGGTCTAAACAGAGAGGCGAAGCCTATGAGACTTCGGGCCGCTGTCGCTCTGCATCAGCTCGGACTTGGAGATGCAACCCCATTACTCAGACGTTCGGAGAGCTTCTGCTGACCTCTGTCTTTGTTCGTCTCACAGCTTCCCATGGAGTGATGAGATGATGCGACGACTGTTCCAAACAATCGGCCCATTACATGATACCCTTCGTGTGCCTTGTCCAGAGTGCTACAGACATTTCCTACAGGCGCCAAAGGATAACCTAGACCTATAGTATCTTCCATGCTTTACAAATTAGACTTGCAGAAAACAATGAATATTATCTACATATGTAGATAAAATAGTTATAATTTAGTGAGTGCTTAAATAAGTCAAGGTCTTTACTAATGGCTTTTGCAAATATTAACACCTCCACTATGTAGACTGAAAACACATATGCACACACTCATTCACTCTCACTCACACTCACACACACAGTGGAGGGGAGGTTTAGAGAGCATATATGATAAAAAAAGAATTTAAGCCAACTGTCCTATCAGTCTTCCAAAGGGTAGCAGTCATTTACTGTCAGGATACAGGAATTCTAATGAAAACTGAAGAGTTTTCAATAGTAACTGTGTGATTTTAAAGATGTTTCCCTGATTGCGGTGAAGGTAAGATGAGAGCCAACCATCTTGAACAGGCGCATTTGAGACATCCCCCGTGTAAAGATTCTCTCCCTGCCAATCGGTAACTGATTCATGACTTTTTCTCGTTAGGGACTACTTCTTACGAAAGGAGCAGGCTGGCTAAGAGTTATCCCGTGTATTGAAAGTAGGTCATGGAGATTAAAGATTGACTTTCCTATGTGGTACGCAACTGAGAGGAGATTTGGACATGGTGGTAGATGAAAAGCACCCCTGAATAGGACACTGTTGTACACTTTGAGCCTGTGGGAATATAAACAGGAAACGGCGACGTTGCGATTCTAAACAGAAGGCGAAAAGGCCCCATAGACGAGTTAAACTGGATGAATAATTCCTCTTAGCTCCTGAACATAAGGCAAATATTGAATCAGTTTGCTACTCAGATAAATGACACCATAATACATGCTATTAACTTCTCACCATTAGAAAAAGTTTACGTTAAACACAATTGCCGCATGAACCAAATGAGTTCAAGACAAACACGCTACTATTCCAAACTAAGTACCATGGACACTGACTTCTGCTGGCATGGGAGAGTCGTAGCTTACAGCAGATAGCATTTTGAGATGAGCTCCTCATATTGTTCAGTTGGCTTTATAAAGTCTGTGTTTATAATGTTGAAATACAGTGACAAATACAATGTGATTTTTGTTGTTGTTCTGAAGCAGTTTGTAGCAAAATCTTACTATTTGGGGTGGTAACAATTTGGTGTTGTAAAACTAAAGAGGAAGACCCGAAGATACCCCTGGGGTACTTACATTCCCACCTCCCTGTTACATAGCACTTACCATGTTCCCTGTCTTTAAAATAGCAAAGTTAGCAGCAATAGAGGGTAGCATGTGAGCTAGCATAGTAACAGGTGTGGAAGGCTGCCTGCTGGGATTAGTTGATGAGGCAGAATACAAAGCTTTTTGCTTTCAATAATTCCTTTTATTTCTCTTTAATAGAACGGGTACATTATTTGACCCATATGTGCCCATGTAAGATTTATTTTATATTCCTTTGGGTTTTGGTTTATGTTTTATTTTATTTTTGCTTGTTTGAATGCTTGGTTGTTTTTTTTTTTCCAAATTTAGGTAGTGGTATACATTACACAGGGGCTGAACCACTGAGTTACATACCTCCTCTTTCATAAGATTTTATAGTTCTACTGTATAGGTTATGGACTGAGTTTCAGTTTTTTTATTTTCATCTATCCTTTTTTCATTTACTAACATAGTGACTCAGATTTCCTATGCCCCCCCACGTATTACCATTTACTTCAAAGAGATGTCACAATCTCAGTGAGGAAAACATGATTCTATACCCTAAACTATAGTTGTAGAAAGACAGGTTAACCAGCCAGGGCACATTTTATATTAACTTAGTTTGCATCAACACAACTGTATAAGCAAAAGTGGGCCAACCATGTATTTCATTTCAGAATGCCAAGAATCAAACACTTCAAAGTGATGTGCACTGGAAATAACTACACCATCGAGCTGGAAAAACCTGTACGTAGCCATTTCTTTGTTGTTGATAACCTTTACTTCTGTTGCGCTCCGAGTCAACCCGTAGAAAATCCAGTGAAAAGTGTGAAACCAGAAGTTATCCTGAGGAGCAGATGCAGAGATCCTGAAAAGGGAGATAAGCATCTCGGGTAGTTGAGGCTATCTCAGATAGGAAGGTTGAGAACAGACACCAAGAACAGGCAGCAAGACTGACTAGACAATAGCCTGCTTCCAACAGAGGTTCTCCCTTTACTTTCTCTGCAAACAATTACTCATATAATCGTTTCAGGGAAAGAAAAATGTTTTTATTAAAGGTCTTCGAAATATCACCTATTTATAAATATTCAAATGAGCCTGTATCAGATGGGAAGCAATCAAGAGTGCCTTGCCCTCTAATACCTGTCATGCAGAAGTCCAGCAATGCCCTCTTAACAGCAGTGTGCAGAAGGCCAGGTTTCTTCTTTGTCTTCAACGCCTCTTCAAGCTTAGTTCTTATCCTCTGGAGCTAATGATAAGCAGTCTTACCCTCCAACATAATGGCAGTTATACAGCTAAGTAATTTATATATACACAACTTAATTTTTTCTATTTCCAGTTCTATAGTTGTTACACATATTATATAGGGGAGTAAACTGGCATTTTGACTGGTCTCAGTCATTGAAAGTGTGGCATGGCCTGATATTTCTTGAAAATTAGTTCCTGGTTCCTCTACCTCTCTGGGCACATTGTATAGCAAGAAGGACTCTGTGGTAGAATTTCTCCTCTTTTGCCTGTAAATCTTAGAGAGACCCTGATTCACACAGCTCACTTTAGCCAAGGATGCCTCCAGAGCTTCTCAGATTCACATTTATGGGTCCAGCTACATCTCAGCCCATCTTAAGCTCAAGATCTTCTTGCCTCTGGAAGAAGCCAACCAGAACTAGCCAACTGGCTCCAACTAGAACTTAAATAGACAAACAAGAAAAAAAAAATGACAGCTCCATAACCAAATGTTTTCTAGTCGGTAAGATTTGCTACCCTTCAAACTGTTTATAATAAGAACAGTTTCTATTAGGTTCTATTAGTTTCTTTAGGTTCTAGCCAACCTGGCTCCAACTCAGCTCTGTAAGCAAAGTTCTAATAAAGGAGGCAGAAGGAGCATCCATAAGATCAAATGGGCAGAAGTAGTTCCAGGGAGGACCAGTGTGATTACTGCACCCTTTTATGTGCAGAACTGGATCCTTGTCATTAGCCTCTGTGGTCCACAGAAGGAAAACGGACAGCCTGGATTGTTCTTTTACCTTTCAAACTTCCCCTAACCCTGCTTTTCAGTCAGCTTGCATTTATTTTACTTCAAGATTATTTGGGATATTCACGTTTAACCAGCTTTCATTGTATAAAAGTATTGATTTATGAGGTAGATTTTAGTGACCCACAGAACCTAAGTTATCCTATTCCAATGAGGTATTAACATGCTTACATTCTATAATCAACCTATAGAAGGTTCTTATTATAAACAGTTTGAAAGGTAGCAAATCTTACAGACTAGAAAACATTTGGTTATGGAGCTGTCATTTTTTTTTCTTGTTTGTCTATTTAAGTTCTAGTTTGAGGAAGGGAGAGTTAGGCCTACATTAAGTGATTTTTTTTAATGTTTTAATTGTGGAAAGGCTTAGTACCTAAATATTTATTGTTCAAAAGACTATAGCAAATGCAAAGAGGACAACTCACCAGAGAATGGCCTCAAAGTCCTTAAAAAAGGAGAAAACAGACATGGGTAAGAAAACTATAGCCATCCTGCAAGTCATTGAAGTATGATGTCATCCTGCCCTACCTTTATGAAGGTCAGGAAACAGGTAGCAATCTCCACTAAACTACAGCTGCCTACACCTGGCTTGTTTATCCTTAGCCAGGTACTGAGCCATCTCTCACTTTCTTTTACACAGGTAACACTTCCAAACCTTTTCAGCGTCATTGATTATTTCGTGAAGGAGACTCGAGGGAATTTGAGACCATTTATACATTCAGCTGATGACAACTTTGGTATGTTCTGGACTTTACTACTATGTCAAACAAAACAAAGCAAAACCAAAACAAAAAAAGCCCCAAACATGCCAAGGTAGAAAGTAAATTTTAAACATTTCAATCTCTTCATTTGGTAATCATTTTGTCAGCATCTAGGGAAAAGGCATGAATTGTGATTATAAACACCATTCCACCATTCTATTTGACATCATCAAACAAGTTCAGAGACAATAGGACAGCAAAACAATATGAAAGCAAAGAGGAAATGTAAAGGGATGGGCCCACAACAGCATCAGATGCATGAGACTGGGCAGAATGCATTAGGATAGCAAAGTCTGTGGGGATTGGCCACTTGGTAGTAATGGCCTCTATCCTAGTGCTATTCCGCTAAGAAGGTAAAGAAGTCGGATCGCAAGGTCATAGGAGGAAGAGCTACTGAAAAAGATTGCTGTTGGGTTAGCTTCAGACCCTCGGGCTCCTCTCTCATAAATTCTGAATGTTAAAACAATGGTAGCTAGACAATGGTCCACTAAACTTAGCGACGAGACCCATGTCATCAGTGCAGTTCAAACATTCGCTAACTTGGCCCCTTTCACATTCTAGGTTTGGGCATAGCAAGGCAGATTAGACGTGATCAATTGTCCTGATCTATCCACAGTCTACATGTGGTCCCTGGGCAAGCTCTAAGCAGGAGAGGTGAACCATCTCCAGCTAGTTTGGGTTTCATTCCTCAGAACAGTTTCCTTTTCTACACATTATAGAGAAAAACAGCTTTGTCTACCTGCACAAGGGGAGTATCTGGAATGTCTCACTAATTAAAAACACAGCAGGTTTACAAGTCTAAGTTCTTAAAATATCACTGTTAATCTTTGGATGTTACATAACAATACAAAGACACACAGGAGCGCAGTCCAAGGAGATTGAAAAAGGGATCAAGTGTGATCTTAGTCTGTGTAGGGTCCTCTGTACACTCAGCAGAGGAAGTGTCTCCAAGTCACACAGTTTGCTTGGCAACCTCTATTATGGGCTTCACTGACTCTTAAGGCAGCAGTTTACTGGATTTTTGTTCTAAAACATTCTTCCGTGAGTCTAAAACATTCCTTCATCTTCAGCCACATGAATCTAGTTTTAGACTTAGAGATACCATTAAAATAACCACAGCACTTCCTCTTAGTGTTTCTATCTGCTCTTTGAGTTACTGATTCCCACAGCCTGCTTTCCTCTCATCTCTGATCTTCTCTGCAGGTTGTTTAGCTTCTGAAAACCTCTCATAGCCTATGACCCCAATCGTGCACACATAGCTACACATCAAGTCAACATAATGGACTGCCTGAGGTGTATGCAGGAAAACACACCTACTAGAGTTCTATGGGAGAACAAGTTCTTGAAATAACATTTTTCCCAAATCAGTTAGGATTTCTTACAATAAAATTTGGGTTGTGTAGAAAATCCACTGTAACTTTCCTCCCCTCTGAACACTAGTCTATTAGTTCATTATTCAACCCTGTAAAATAAACTACCTCCATGGTGGTTAAATCGACTATTTTATTTATTGATCTGCAGGTTCAGAAACTGGATTGGATTCAGTTGGATGTTTTTTCTAGTCTCACTTTATCACATGGGTTTTCACATGGGCTCCAGCTTGATAGGAGGTTGAGGCTGACCTTTCTTCCACCACCCTAGTGCTTTTGTTATAGGCACATACTACCACACATGGCTTGTGAGATTGTTCAATAGGATTTATGGTATAATAGACTTCATTAGCTTTAGAAAGCTTTAGCTTTCCCAATGTGCATATACTGTATTTTTTTTCCTTGCCACACTGGGTGGAGTGTCCTTGCTCTCAGCTTTAGGGGAAAAAACTTCCATCTTTCATCACTATGAACAATATTGTGTTGTTTTTGTTTTAATTCAGAATGAAAAAAGTTCTCTTTACAATTACTTTTTTTTTTTGGAATGCCATTTTACTCAGATATCATAGATAGATGCTGAATTTTGTAAACCTTTTTATGTATATTTTGTATATGATCAGATAATAGTTTTTCCTTAGTTGGTTAAAATGATGTTTTTACTATTTATACATATACACATAGTTTCTATTGTTTATCGATTCATTCATTGAACCCACTTGGTTATAGCGTATTAAGTGTTGGATTTGCCTAATATGCAA